CCCCCCCTCCTCCCCGCCGCAGCCCAGGTTGACGTCATGCTCGGCTCATGCTCCTGCTCCTGCGTCGCAGAGGTTAGAAACGTCTGGCCTGCAGTGTTCACCAGCGGGGGTTCCCCTTGATAGCCGTACGTATAACAGACCGTCCACCGCCCATGCCTACACAGCTCCGTTCACAGACCGCCCAGTCGCCTTGCGGTCTTCGGTGTATTCCCTTCCCTTAGTTTACTTGAACCACTCAATTTTGAGAATCCAAAACAAGATCTACTGAGTGTCTCCAGTGTTGTTTTCTAACAACTTATTGTATTGAGAGATTCACTATGTCAACATCAGAAGCAACGCAGTTTTACAATAACTTTTCAATTGAAGAGCTTTATGCTCCTCAGGCTCAAACAACTCAAGCTTGGGATCAGTCTTCATGTAATGGTTGGTTTCTTGTGTGTTGGAAGTGTAACATAGAGGTTAGAACAAAGGTATCTGATATTATTAGAAATTGAAATGAACTGACATGCGTTGTTTAAAACGCCAAAAGATGTAGCAGATAATTTGTTAAGTGTGATACTTGCTACTTTTTAGTGCTCATATCATATTGAAGCAAACAGCATTTAGTCGGGTTGTTGAAAATTTTGCATTAAATGCTAGAAAATTGTACTCATCTTTCTACAGTTATTTCAAGACTACTATAGAACATAAAGATGTCAGTCAAATTGTTTAGGGAGTCTGAAAGATCTCTCATTACCCCGGTAGCAAAATGAAGCAAATTGCATTTGAACTGCATTATATGTCCCATCTGTACGCGCATAACAGGCGCCTACACGCGTGTTAGGTGCGTTTCAGATTGGACACAAAATGCACATTTTATGCAGCTCTGCTACCTGGGAAACATTTTATTTTAATATTTTTAATTGGATCAATTTTAAATGATAAGTTATTGCAGGTGCAACAATGTTTCCCACTCCAAGCCCATCACCAACTAGCCATCAAACAAGCCCTTTTTCATCCAGTTATTCTGAAGAAGGTGAAATGGCATGTAAGTATGGTAACATTAAGGTTAAACTGAAAAACGATAAATGACCATGTCAATCAAAAGTTGCTCATCATTCATTAAATATTTTGCAGACAGTGAAGGGGAAGTTAAACTACGAATCATTGAGCAGCCAGTTCCCATGTTTAGGTTTCGTTATAGATCTGAAATGAATGGTGCCCATGGAAGTTTGCTTGGTCAAAGCGAAAATCCGAAGAGAAAAACTTACCCAACTGTTGAAGTATGTCTCTAAAATGGAAAAAAAAAACACCTTAGTCTTGTGTCTTAAAAATATCATTTAGTGTGCTGCTCTAATTTTGTTATAGCTTGTCAATTATGACGGGGAAGCGATAATACGCTGTTCGCTGTATACAGCTACACCACCACACATTCCACACATGCATCAACTTATTGCTAAACCATCCAACAACAGAGAGATACTTGACCATGAAGTCACTGTTTCTGATAGAAATGGTTACAGAGCAGAGTAGGTTATTCAGATTCGTGTTATACATGTTGGGCTTCTGGCATTAAGTTTTCTAAAAGGTAATATATTGTTAACTCTTGTAACTTCTTCCATAGATTCAGAGGATTGGGTATAGTTCACATGGCAAAAAAAAACCTTACCAAGGAGCTGATGAGGAAAAAAGAAAAAGATCTAATTGAGAAATTGAAAAGACAGAAGAATTTGCCCCACTTTGGGGATGAAAGACAGCAAATTGCCTTGAAAGAAATGCTTCCTCAGGTGTGCATTTGAAGATTTTTTGTTCCTAAAATCTTATTTTTAGCCATATTTGCACTAATTACTTTTCCCTAGCTTGAAGCAGCGGCCAAAAGGGATGCAGAAACAATGGATGCTAATAAATTACGTCTTTGCTTTGAAGCATTTGAAAGAGGTCCAAATGGTGAAATGCGTGAATTATGTGAAAGAGTGTTCTCTGATACAATTCAGAATATGAGTAAGTCAATAATCTCATCAATGCTAATGTAATTTATTTAATTTTGGAATTTGTTTATTCTTGTTTTACAATACTCAACCCTGTTTTATAATTTATAGAAAGTGCTGAAACCGGAGGACTTAAAATTTGTCGAATTGACAAATGTGCTGGCTCTTGTAATGGTGGTGATGAAATCTACATACTTGTGGAAAAAGTTTGTAAAAGTAGGTGTCAATTGGAATATTCTAGTTTGTTAATCCATTACAATGAAATGATTTTAATTTCTCACTTTTATTATACCAGAAAATGTAAAAATCCGCTTTTTTGAGGATGATGAGCATGGACAAGAAGTGTGGAGTGATGAAGGGTTGTTCAGTGAAAATGATGTTCATCACCAATATGCAATAGTATTTAGGTAAGTTCTAAGTTGCATCTAGGAGGGTTGCTAGGGAGATTCTGAGCCTCCCTGCCATATCTAAAGCCTAAACAAAATAAGTTTGAATGTTAAAAACAACTCTGACAGTCTATTTTTTCCGCCTGTAATCAAAAAATATAGGCACATTATCTAAGTGCTTAAAAATGCAGTGGGAAAACTTTATCTGCAATGAATGCTCTTAAATCAGGGAACTGTTTTTAAACTGTTGTTGTATTTACCAATATCTTTAGTTCTATATTCTCCACTTTATTTGCAGAACTCCACCATATAAGAGAACAGACATAGAAAAAGATGTGTCTGTCAAAGTGGAACTTGTAAGACCAAAGGACAATGCAAGAAGCGACCCTGTTCCATTTCGTTATAAGCCTGCTCGACGATATGGTTAGTTAAGATGTGATCTATCTAAAACTGTAATGAAATTTGTCATTCGTAATTGTTCTTTAATAATTTTCATTTTTAACTCAGGCCAGAAGAGACCATGTCCTTCATTTTCAAGCCTTGAGAGTAGCAGTAGTTTTGAGGCTCCGAAAAGATCCAAAGCCCCAGGTACTTGCATGTAATGGCTTTTATTCAGGCGTTGTAAAATTGCATTATTCATTGTACAACTACTTGAATTTTTCTAAATATTTGCAGTCATGATCTCAGGCGACGACCCTATGATTAGCGGTGAAAAGGCCATCAGTTGGAATTTATCCAGTGAAACATTAAACGATGTCATGAAAGATTTGTCATCAGAAGTCCACATTGATGAAGATTTTGCAAACTTCATTTTATCTTCTAATTTATCTTGTATGTTTTTTTAGCAACTTCTTACACATCATTACTTACTAGAACTGAAAATTAGGGTTTTCTAATTATTCTTATTACTTTTTCTTTCATTCTAGCTTATTCTCAGGCTTTGAATGGTAGGTAGTATTCTTTTGAATAGCTCCTAGTATACTCTTTAAAAAATAATAATACTCATACTCTTATTTTCCATGTTTTAGAATCAAAAGATAGGGGTGGATGCAGAGTTGAAGAGGATCAGAATATGCTTCTGCTTCAGTCAGAACACTGTGACTTTTCTCCCAACATGTCTTCCCCTGGTTGTCTAGAGACTTTTGGTGATTGTAGGTTTAGGTACCTGTGTCAAAATGTGAAACTGCTATCATTTCTATTTTTCTCATGATTGTTCTATTTATTATAGTGAGTATTGAGAGAAACTCTGATTGGCAAACAGATGGGCCAGGATCAAAACAGAACAAAGAAAAACATGTAGATGTAGTTGTTGAAGGCGTGTCCAGTAAAAGTAAGTCCTGAGTTTTCCTTGTGGAAAAGACAGAAGAAATACTCGGCAATACTCATTGCTAGCAATTCTTCAGACTAACTGGAAGTTGTGACTTTTCTGTGATACATTCATAACTATGTTTTTCTTCTTTCTTTTCCTTTCTTTTAGACCATTTGGTGAAGAAAACTGCATCAAGCTCTGAGGATGAGGCAGTAAAAGTAAGTTCCATTTTATCTAGATCTGATGCCGATTCGGAAAACAACTTTAATAAATTAATCTTGTTTCATCTAGGTTACATCAAATCTTGCTAAAAATGCTTATGATAAATTATTGAAACTTATGAAGAGTCGGCACCCTAGTAGATTACAGGATATGAAAAATATTATCAGAGCAGAGGACCAAGAATTTGGGTAAATATATACTACTTGAAGTGTAACAAGCAGTTTAGTCTCTTGATATGTACAGTATATATGTACAGTACGTACAGTATTTTGTTTTCCATGTATTATGCAACTACAAATCGCTCAAAACTTTTGTTTGCAGGCCACTCCATGCTGCTGTTATTCATGGCCAATTAAAGGAATTGAGTGATCTCCTTTCTCTAGTGATTAAAAGCAATCAACTAAAACTCATCAATACCAGTAATCGCAGAAGACAGGTAAGGGAGAGTGGGGCACCTAGTGACACTTTTTGTCTACCTGTTTGGTTGTAATAGGCTTGGTTTTTCTGGGGTAGGTGTGTCTCTATTTGATATTTCTTTACAAGAACACGTCAAGGCCATTTAAAAAATCTGAGCATTCTCTGAGATATCACTCTGCGAAGTGACTCAACTAGTTTATATCTCAGGGGACGCTCAGATTTTTGATATTGTCCCGATGGTATCTCAGAAAGGAAGACCCAATAGAAACATACCAACGCTAAATACCAAAATGCCGCCCAAACCGAGCATGCTAGGACCGATTAGGCGACGAGTGTCACTTTACATAACATGTGAAAGTCAAGAGGTAACGATTCTGCTACACAGTTGACTGTGGGTCCAATTGACCTGGCCAATGTTCTGTCACTAGGTGACCCTGTCACTTGGTGCCCCACTCTCCCCTCACATTTCCTCTGTCAAACTATTCATCACATTTCGATACATTCTCATTCAATCTGTATTTGTTTTCATTCTTGTAGACTCCTTTGATGGTGGCAGTTGAGGAAAACAGAGTGGATTGTCTAAAATTGCTTTGTATGGCAAGAGCTGATATCAACCAGGCAGATTACGAAGAAAACACTGCTTTCCACATTGCAGTCAAAAATAAAAATTCAGAATGTCTACAAGTACTGCTTTCAGCCAAGAAATCACAGGATTCCAGTTGCAAAATTGATTTAAACAGAAGAAATGAATATGGTTGTCTTTTATTTATTTAATA